TATTACTCATTATCAGTATCATCATTTTTCTGATTTGAAATGTTTTGGTGGTTAGTATCCAGTAAACAAAGACTATTTTGATTAGTGTTAAAATCGGGAATAAATTCAATCATACCACTTTTACACAAAAATTTATATGCAAAACCTGTGATCATTGCCGAATTGAACTATTCAAGATATAATGCTGATCTTCAGCATATAAAATATATTTTCTTTTGAGTGAAATAACCTCATGATTGCAGATAAATTTTTATAATATGATGTCTTGTGACAGTGGTCACTTGCTTCCAGATTTAAAAGTGGGGTTCTAATTACTACAATCTACACATAATATAATAGCAGGAAGGAAAAAAACCCTTCCCCCATTCCAACCAGGAGCATTTGTAGGAGGGTATAATAGCTTTTTTTTTCTCTTTCCTCTGTGGAACAGTAGCGCCGGCTATTTGGTCCGGGTTTTTTGGTTTTACTCGAAACCGGACCGTATAGCCCGGACCGAGACCGGGACCGGATAGTAAACAATCCAATCCAATATTTGGGCTTAGATTTGAGGTAAAAACTGTTCGGGACCGGATCGAAAACTGGATAAAGACCGGATAAGAGAGCTCGACACCCAAAACTTAAGGGTAATTTGCATAAACGGTCACAAACCTTTGCACTTAGTACAAAACTTAACCAACTCCTCAGCATTGCAGGCCTTAGGCCACTCAAATCCCCACAAGCTCAATATAAAATCAAGACCGAATTGGGACCAGACCGTGTCAAAACCGGACCAGATCAAGACTGGACTGTATCCAATTCAATCTTTGGTCCTTATATTTTCAAAAAGACCGGACTGGACCAGATCAATTTGTGCCAATTTAACCGGACCGGACCGTATAGCCACCCCTATGGAACGGTCCCACTTACCGTACATGTGTGAACTTGACTGGGCCCAGGGATTGTTGCGGCCCACAAAAACAGAACAGGTTTCAGCCACGGTCGCATCCGTTTCGTGCCTCCATAGTAATCACCATAACAGAGTCTTGGATTGTTCCGATGCTGGATCTGGACTCCGCTCACGCTGGGAATAAAAGAAATAATTAGAGAAAGTGAGCTTCATAATTGTTTACAAAATAATTTCCCTAATCCTTCTTCCGTGTGCTAATTGCATAATCCCTTCCCTATGAAAAGAAATCCAAGCATAGTAAAATGATCCAGTCATGCAAATGAAGAAGTGTGGTAAATTGCATGCAAGTAAAATTTAAAGATGAAGTCATCTAATCAAATCGTAATCAACCACCCCTTTTTCCATCATTCGCAAGCTCTAACAGATAAGTGACAAAGAAATCCACAATATCGCTTTACTGTAACAATACAGTATTATTGAAGATTGGTGGCTTTCTCTTCTTCTTCGTTAAACTAGCGTCGAAGATATACAAAGAGGGGTTTAAACAAGTGATAAGAGAAGGGAAGATTAAGAAATGAAAAACAGAGACCGAGAGGGGGAGTTGAAATTGAGGTTCTGGGAGAGGAAGCCATGCAGGAAAAAGGTTTGCAGAGCTAAAATTAACGGCAGGAAAACATGGATGGGGAGAAGTGTCTACCGACGAGGATATAATTGAGATCGAGAGAGAGAAGTGAACCATGAGCCGGTGAGCACTAAGCAACTTTTTTTAGGAGATATAGGGTTTTCTTTAAGCCCTTTTATTTCTCAGTGTTGGTAAGATATATATGAAAGAGCAAAAACAATTTTTTCTTTTTTATTGCTAAAAAGAAAAAATTTAACTATAAACTAATGCATGGATTCTAATGGGCTAACCGCTAACCATAGAATAAAAGAGTTGAATGGGCTTGACCCAAAGGGATTTGGCCATCAAGTAAAACAAATGAACATCATGGGTTTGCCATCCTAAAACATGCTATTTTCTCTAGCATAATATATATTATGCTATTATTTATATCTTAGTGGCTAAAATATAATGTATTTTAAAGTTGTTAAATGGTTCGACCTCGACCAACCAGATTAGTCCAATTTTTATAATTTCAAATATATTTTATGTAATTATATTTGATATCCTAATGATTAAATTATAGTTTATTTTATAGGTGATTTTTTATTCGATTTTCTGAAATTCGATTTCTATCAAACTTACTCCACTCATCATATTATCAGAAATAATACTGTTTCACAAGGTAACAAGTACTCGAACTTGGTTCATAAGGCTGCTTTTAATTCGTTGCATCATCCATGCCTATTTCTTGCTAAAATTCACTATCTTTATCACGTGTCTCCAACAAAAAATATATATATATATACAACAATAAGCTATACAGTATACACCCCATTACATTCTAAAATTTCACAACTCACCTTCCTCCGGCCAACTGACCGAGGCCCACGCTAGTAGTATTAAAAGAGTCTGTTTGCTACTTTAATTACTATTTTTTTAGTATAAAATATAAATATATAAACATAATTTCACTAGAGGCAAATACCAACATTTATGGTGGCAAATTTTTTATTAGTCGCCTATAAAACTTTTTTAGTTTCAAAAATTAAAAGCTATAGAGGAAAATTGTATATCTGTCTTATATTAACTAGTTTTAGAGGCACATATTGAGGCTAATTATATATTTTTTGCAGTAAATAAAATATTTGTCACAATGTTTAGCCGCTACATATGGGTTTTGTTGAAGCGAGTGTAAATAGATATGGGGCTTGCACTTTCCTCCTAAACCAAAGTTATTCAGCTGCACGAGTGATTTGGCAAGAAAAAGATTGACTTCTTCATCGAAAAGTGTTCCTCAAAAGCTAACATGTCATGTTCCACAATTTGAATGAATCTCTCTTCTATTACCTCTTTGCCTTCATCCATGCGATTAGCTCATGTAACAACATTTTCCTCTCCCTCCTGTTGCCTTCCCAGTTCACGTATTTCTTCAACTAGTTATGATCCCTAAAGGAAGCTATCCATCCTAGAAGTCTTATTCATGTTGTCTTCCTCTTTTGGAAAATTTGGAAGCCGAGGAATGAACGTGTGCTAAAAATAGAACAATTCTCCCCCCCCCCCCCCCCTATCTGTATGCAAACTTCTAGAGACTTCATTTGATAGAATTCAGGAGAAACGAAAAGGAAACGAAAGATGAAACATAAATCATGGATCATTTACGCCCTCTAGGGGACTTACTTAAGAATAAGAAAGAGGTAAATACCATGAAATAAGGTTTGACCCTATTTATGGGTTATACCGCCAAATAATCACTCAATGGTGATTCATTGTGACGAGTCATTCTAAGTGACTCTTAGTCAGCGGCTTATAGTGTGGTGGCCATCACCCACCGTGAGAAGGCGAGCTAGATACAATCATTTGTTGTACCTCAATTGAATTTGAAACAAAATCTCTTTTGAAAGGTCTCAAATTAGCTCATTATATGGTTTTTAATGTGTGGTTCAATAAGATTGTCAAGTGTTGGTTCAAGATTCTTCGAGATGGCCCTGGAGATGTGCGATCTAGATAGGGTCGATGGTCTCAACTCTTAGAACGAGCCTTCAAATTAAGTTCAAGGTAGTGTCTAGCAAGTTTAATGCTAGAGATAATTGGGTCGCTAGTTCTATGACAAAATCTTCTCTTTCATATAACCGAATCAACAATTTAGATCTAATTTATGATCTACTATATATTTGCAACACTCGTACTTCTTTTTGTTGGTGGCATATTAGTTAATTTCTACTGTACCTCCTCTATCTGTTGCGAGTCGAGGAATCCTTCTTGAAACTCCAAATGCATATTTTCATATCCGATGCGAGTTTTCAAGAAACCGTTCGCGTTTTAGCAATAGTTTTGCTATGTGGTCGTATTGATTGGTTGAAAGGAGAGCTTCAGGAATAACTAGTGAATTACAAATTTGTTGTACCGCAATTGATGCATTAGTATTTTGCAGCCTTAATATTTTTTGTTGGTTGGTTCCATTATCACAAAGCTGCTCCAAAATTGGCTTTTAGATTTTCCGACCCGAAGCGAATATGAGCTGGGACAAGAGAGAGGAAATTGATTTTCCAAATCTCTCCTACAATATCTTCACTGCAGTAGAGTTTAAACACCAAGTTTGGGACGGATTTGTGTTGTACCCATTTACCGAGGGGTGCTCTAAAAAAATCCGTGGAAAGGAAAATGATGAACAACTATACAAATTAGTCGAAATTATTAACTTACCGTGTTAATGACGAATAATTACACAATTAATAACGTTTCTGGTGCTAATAGACACAGTAATCAATGAAACTTCTACTTAATCTTATTAGGCCATGAGTGTTTGTTTTTTGTTGGCACAAAGTCAGTCAGATTTGGCAGGTTGCCGACTGGCGTCAAAAAAGACAGATCCCGGCCCGTAGACTAAATATATATGGGTTTTATTGATTTCAATACCTCTAATTTTATAACCAAAGTTATATAACAGACATGCAAGCATTACTCATTTACGTAGTAGATTAGATGTAGAAAACAGATTAGTTGTATTTGTTAACCTAACTAATTTCTTTAATCTTGGATTACTCAAATTAACTTCTCTAATTAATAATAGTTAAGTCAATTGAGGAGGTTGTTGGGTCATTTTCATTACAAAAATTCTTCTGTCACGGAGAGTCTAAGATGTCATTTGACAGTGAGGTAGTTAAAATATATAATACGAGGAGTTGTTTGAGTTTTAGGTTCATAGAATATTCAGTTTAGTCACCTATATACTATGTTAACGAGAATATGCATTCATCCTTTAGAGTTTTATTTTCGGTGTTATGACATATAAAATTGTCGAAAACTTCATAAACGATTCTTGTATACCTAGCTACTTCTCAAGCACAAGTTAATTTGACATGGTTCGACATGCATGCATTTGCGCAAGTCTATTGTACAGTTCACTTAAATTAATTGTTAATATCGAAGGTTACCGAAATTCATAAACACAAGTTCTCTCGATCAATAAAATCCCAAAACCATATAGAAATCCATTTTAAACCCATAACTACAATGCAGCGGCGGATTCAGGGGGCGCCCCCGACCCAGCCCTCTCTGGATCCAGAACGAGTATAACACTTGTAAATTTTCGATTTTTGGTATTTGTTTCGGTGTTTGTAGCGTTACAACCCAATCCTCTCCACCTTTTTTCAAATGTGACCCAATGCTCCACTCTATACTGGATCCGCCACTCCTACAATGATCCAACCAATGTTAAAGTCAAATAACCACGTCTTATTGCAAGAGAACTTGTGTTAGTGTAACTTGGGGGGAGAACCCAATACAAACAATCAATTAAGATGATTTGATTGAGGTATAATAATGGATTATTCAAGAGTAATGAAACTTCAAATCAGGATGGATTTTTCATCTTTCGAAAAAAAATTCAAATCCCCATTCGACTTCTCGAGGGCCGGCCACCGGGAAAAACCCGAAAGGAAGGCTGCTACCGGTACGTTGCTTGCTGGAGTCTCAGTTATCTAGGAATCAATCTATCGAAAACCAAACCTCCAGCATGCATATTTGGTTTGCAGTTTGCACAGAGTCCATCAGCGGAAGTTTGAAAAGGCTGGCAAAAACATGGAAAACCAGTTCCCTATGTTGTTTGTCACTCTATTTAAAACAAAAACAAAAAAAAATCTCAGCTAACATGAAATACAGAAACAGAATCATGTCTTAATTACATCCTCATAGAGCACCGAGTCACATTTTATTAGAAAATTAGATAACGTAAAAAAATCACAATTTTTTCATAATGTCAATTGTACACGACGGTCTACACCCATACCAATAGCATACTCTCTTTCAAATAAAATTGTTAAGCAATGGAAAAAATTTCATCGCTAATTTTGTTGCACAAATAAGTTTTATCATGTTTCATTGTGAAAAAGCTTCTCTCCGTAGTAGTCGTTGAAACGTGCAACATTAACACTAGACAAATCAATCAACTAATCAATTTGAATTGTGTGTCCATCCCTATATACACTAGCTGCTCTAGTAATTTTTCAAGGGACCAAATTTCATATTTTTTTGTCTTTTATGTTTTAGACTTTAGAATTTAGGTTTCATTATTCATTTATTTTTTTAGACGAAAATCATTGGGACTAAAATTTCTACATTAAATTTAGAGTAGTGATTTGAATATGTTGAATCATTTTTCTAGTTACACTTAATCTTATTACAAAATACCACTGCGACGAATGCCAAAAATCAAAAGATTCATAAGGACTATACGAGCTCCGGACCCATAGGAGGGTTGGGTCATGGCCACCCCTGAATCCGCCATTCATCATAAAGGTTATCTTCTCTTCTTCTTTTCCTCCTGGAGAAGAATGGTAAGATTAAGATATCAGAGAACCAGCTAGCGCTAGCGCCTAGGCAGCATGCATGCATGCAGTACTAGGGCTGGGAATCCGGTTTCAGTTTTCTGGTCAAACCGAAAACCGGCCAGTTTAAACCGTCTCGGTTGTAACCGGAAACCGGATACAACCCGATCCAATCCGGATTCCGGTTTCTAGTATTTGGAGAAAAACCGTACCAGGTATAACCCGGTTAAAACCGGGAAAAACCGGGAAACTGGGACCAGCCCTGCCTTGCACCAAGCCCAGCTTTGAAGCCCAAATCCCCTCTCAAAATCTCAGCCCAGCACAAAACAAAAGCCCAGATACACAAAAACCCTAATCGTCATGGCCACCCAGTCCCTCTATCCCTCACGATTCTCCTCTATCTCCCGTCGCCTCGCGACTCCACTCCTCTACTCTCGAAGAAGAAGTCGACCGGCGGCCGAAATCGCCGCTCAACCATCGAATCAGCCGCCGACTCTATTCGATGGCACCGAGATGCCCCTTCTGTTCATGGTCGCGATCTCCTCAGGGCGACAGCGACAGCGCGAAGGCGACGGTGATTTTAGAGTTGAAACAACTCCTGATCTGGGCCCCAAACCAGTGTTGGACCTCTCTCTCACCGGCGATGCGGCGGAAGCGAGCAATTGATCTTTCTTGACCTCCTATGTTGAGGACTTGAATGGCGGTGGATGGTGGTGGTGCATGCAAGGATGGTCGCACTTCTGCAGCGGCGAGGGAGGTGAGAAGATGAAGAAGTGAAGGTGAAGGATGGATCGATGAAAATCAGAGCTAGGGATTAGGGGGATTTTTTTTAGAAGAGAGCGGCGGCGTAGATTGGGGAATTGGGATGGTGAGGGGAATTAGGTATTGTTTGAGTGTGTGACTGTGTGGCGAGTGGGAGGTGAGGGGAATTTCTTTTAATCCAATTTAAACGACAACGTTTTTTTTATCAGAAACGACAGTGTTTTTTGGGAGGGAATAAATAGATCCAGTTTTTTGGTTAAAACCGGATCAAACCGTATTACATCCAGTTCGGTTTGGTTAAAACCGGGTAACAATCCAATCTCGTCTTCAATCGTGGAATTGTCCAATACGGTTTCAAAAAACCGGGTCAATCCGGTCCGGTTTAAACCGAACCGGACTGTTTCCCAGCCCTATGCAGTACTGTCTTTTTCAATTGCATGATAGTAATGTAACCATCCCAACCCAAAGCTCTTAGTATTTTCGCAATTCCCTTTTTTTTCCTGCTAGAAAATGACAATTCTCCCATTACACATACACATCATTGCCTTAGAAGGAGGATGATGCAGTCTGTTCACCTTCAAGTGTTACTTTGGGTTCCTCATGATCTTAAGGTTACCATTCAACAAACTGAGTTATTCATATCCACGAAGGAAGGTCGTAATTATTCAAGTGTTGAGAGTATTATTGGACTCACTTGAAAAAAGCACTCGTGATTCGCTTGGTTTCGGAGACATAATCATTATATAGAAGAAGTGACCGAGTGGTTCAAGACGTAGCATTAGAATTGTTATGTAGGCTTTTATTTACCGGAGGGTTCGAATCTCTCACTTTCCACATCTTTTGAATCCATCTTCCGGTAGTAACTCAAGTGTTTAAAGTGTGAGATTCGTTTGAAGGAAAAAGTACGTACAACAATTCGTCTCAACAGGGTCCTCGAATTCCAAAGTCTTTGCATCCACGTTAACTGTGGCAGGCAGATGGTTTCATGATACGCAGTAAGTGGAGACGACAAATTGACCAAAGGGAAACAAGGAGCTCGCTCTATTATCATCATTAGTGATCTACTGTGTCATATACAACAGTTTTCTATAACACAAGGACGAGGAGGTATTTTAGTGTGCTTTATAGTATTGGTGCTATAAAATGTTTACAGCCATTAGATCATGTTCAAAATATATCAGCCATTAGATCTTATTTAAAATATTAAAATATTGTTTTATTTGTATATGGACAACCGGTTGTACCGGTTGTAAAGTTTCAAAACTCATTCTCTTATCCTTCTCCTCCCCGTCGACAGAGCTCGGGTGAGGAATTCTAATCTCCGGCGACGCCAAATCCAAACACCATCCTCTGCACCAACGGTTGCTCTGTCATCATTAGGTACCTCGACCAGCCCCTCAAAGTTGATGTCTACGGCGAGCACAGCTACCCTATCACCGTCGCTCGCAACTCCCCCCAACGGCGAGTGGATTACATCAGCTGACACTTCCGGAACCGTAAAGATTTGGGTCCACAACAGCTTCGTCTCCACAACGAGTTTTGCATCCTCTCCGGCCGAATCAACGATCTGCAATGGTCCCCTAATCAACTGAGGATCGTCGTCTCCGGCGACGACAAGGGAAAATCCTTCGTACGTGCTTTCGTGTGAGTTTCCCCCTCCCTCCCTCTTATCGTAATTTTACCCCCTTTTGCCTTCAAAACCTAATTTCGAATTTAACAAGTTATTGAGCGAGCAATTTGTATGCCGGATTTCTGAAGGTGGGATTCGGGTAGCACCGTGGGGGAATTCGACGGAAATTCAAAGCGAGTGTTGAGCTGTGCGTTCAAGCCGACGCGGCCGTTCAGGATTGTTAGCTGCGGAGAGGATTTCATTGTGAATTTCTACGAAGGATGAACAGAACTGCTCTAGGTTGCAAACTTTGAGTATATTGAAGAAGCAGAGGAAGAAGTTCCAAAGCCTGCACCAGATACGATGAGCAATTCTGAGAAGTTGAATTTCTGGGAGGAGCTGTTAAGAGGCAACGTTGAAGAGCAAAAGGTGGAGGAGTCTAAGACTCTTGGAAAAGGGAAAAGAAGCCGCAAACAGGTATTATACATTATTTGCATATTGGTATGGAATTCGGCTTCTGGTACCTCTATCTCTATGAATGTTGTGCTAATGCTGGTTTGTGCAGAAATAGCGTGATGTTTGCTTATGTGGTGTTTTTCTACTTGTGAATGCATGTATCTGCTGTGATCCTGGAAATACATTCCTTATAGCGGGGTCGATCAAAATTCTTTGTTGTTTACATTACATGTTGGTTTACCACTTTGTCGTGTAATGCACTTATAACAACAGAACGATTTTGACAAGCAGCTACGATGGCCACATTATCAAATGGATCTAGGGTATTGGTTATGCTGATAGATTGGAAAGGGGGTAAATTCCCAGATCAAGTGCTTGGCAGCTGCTAAAGATCACATCATGACATCTGGATTCAATAACAAGGTAAACTTCCATCAGTAACTACAATGTAGAATGTACCCCGATGTTTCAGCTCAACCAGTTAGTTGCATTTTAGGTGCATTTTAGAGAAAAACTCCTAAACCCTCATTAACTACAATGTAGAATGTACCCCGATGGCCACTGCTGTACTGATCAGAGTCCCCGGAGAAGCTCTGCAGTTCATCAGGTGAGTCCCAATATTCAACGGAGCTCACCCGCATCTTTGTTAATTAATCGAACGAAAACTTGATTTTGGAGGTCCTCCGCTGCGTCCTTCGTGGAGACTGATTTTTATTAGTTCCGTTTTTAGTTCCGATTGTTGTTTGGCAAGCCGGAAAATGAAAGGGCTTCCACCAGTGTCGTTGCTGATGGTGATTCAACAACTCAAGTCAAGTCAACAAATGATAGAAATACTGTAATTCACATGCCTGTTAAGATGAAGGAAGAAACTTCAGGGACTGCCATGGCAAGGCATACAAGTCTCAGTAACACTGGCTTGTTAATGGAAAGGCCAGCAGCTCCTGTTGGTAATGGCTATAATAAGTGCCATCGCACAACAAATGTTGGTAGTGTTAAACAGGAAATACATGCTTCATCATCAGGTTTTCCAATTCAGCAAGGCTCAGTTGCTGCTGTTGAGCCTGTCAATAGTTCTGTCTCGGAACAAGGAGCAAACAGTACATCGGATTAAGAAGACCTTTACCCTGAAAGTGAAGATGATCTCCCATACTTTTCGGATATTGAAACAATGGTATGACAGTGGCCTATATCTTTTCTTGATTATTTTGTTTATCATTGAATGTCTCTTGATTTTAGTATTGTTTTCCATTTTTAACTCTCTTTTTTTTTCCTCTCTTTCTGAAATTAGATACTTGATATGGACTTAGATCCAGAAGAGCAGGACTTATTCTCCAACGAACAAGGTAGTAAACATATAAGTTTCAGGCAATTCATCACTTTTCAGACTTATTCACTTACTGCTACCAAATTGATGTTGGAACATCCAATGGGGGCCTTTTTCCCAATCAGTAACCATTCCTAACATGATGCTTACATCTAATTAATTCCTGCAGTGTTGAGATACCAGCAAGAGGAAACACAGGCAGCAATCATAAAACGAAGACGAGGACGAGAGCACTGACGAGGAAGATAGGCAGTGAAGATGAGCCAACAAAAGTCCTTAGTACTTAGCTATGTGTGTTTGCGTTTGTGCTTGTATGTTTTCCAATTAGAATATGATGATGCACTAGTGTGGGCTACATGCAGCTAAACTTAAGCATTAATTAGACAGATTTAATCGTGTTATGGATGCTTGTTTTATTAGACAAATGTAATGCTTTGACTGCGTTTTACTTTTTGTTAACAGGGTATCTCATATGATATGATGTACAGTTACTAAAGAATATTGTGAATGGATCTATGTAATGCTCGTGTCAAGGTTTAGAGAACATTATGAATCATCTTTTTCATAAGTTTGAAGTTCTGGAAAAAAGTCCATTCTGTTTGAAACACCATTATAATAAGTACACGGGATAGTTCAACAGGTGAAGGTCTCCTACTGGAAATCTGACACCTTATACTGGTAATCTCACGACCGTAAAATACTCAAGTGAGATGTAAAAAGCAGTGCTTCATTCCTCAGGCAAATATCACGGCCGTGCGATGTCCCGTGAAATGCAAAGAGCAGTTCTCACTATCCCAGGAAATTTCACGGCTACTACTTGAAATTGTCACGCCCGTCAAAATCTCACATTCTAGAGTTGTACCTTTACACTAAACTTAAAGTTGTACCTACACTTTCCTAAACCCGTCAAAATCTCACATTCTAGAGTTGTACCTTTACACTAAACTTAAAGTTGTACCTACACTTTCTAATAAATCCCTTTATGGTACAACCCAAACTTGTACCTATACTAATGGTACAACTTTAATTTGTACCTACACTTTCTAAAAATCCTTCTATGGTACAACCCAAACTTGTACCTATACTATGGTACAACTTTAAGTTGTACCGACACTTTCTAATAAATCCCTTTATGGTACAACCCAAACTTGTACCTATACTAATGGTACAACTTTAATTTGTACCTACACTTTCTAAAAATCCTTCTATGGTACAACCCAAACTTGTACCTATACCATGGTACAACCCAAACTTGTACCTATACCATGGTACAACTTTAAGTTGTACCTACACTTTCTAATAAATCCCTTTATGGTACAACCCAAACTTGTACCTATACTAATGGTACAACTTTAATTTGTACCTACACTTTCTAAAAATCCTTCTATGGTACAACCCAAACTTGTACCTATACTATGGTACAACTTTAAGTTGTACCTACACTTTCTAATAAATCCCTTTTATGGTACAACTAAAAATTGTACCTATACTAATGGTACAACCTTAAGTTGTACCTACACTTTCTCCAAATCCTGCTATGGTACAACCCAAACTTGTACCTATACCATGGTACAACTTTAAGTTGTACCTACACTTTCTAACAAATTCCTTTATGGTACAACTAAAAATTGTACCTATACTAATGGTACAACCTTAAGTTGTACCTACACTTTCTCAAAATTCTTTTATGGTACAACTAAAAATTGTACCTATACTAATGGTACAACCTTAAGTTGTACCTACACTTTCTCAAAATTCTTTTATGGTACAACCCAAACTTGTACCTAAACCATGGTACAACTTTAAGTTGTACCTACACTTTCTAACAAATCCCTTTATGGTATAACTAAAAATTGTACCTATA